TGAGATTCTCTCTCTTTCCCTCTGTCTTTCTGCCTCTCCTCCACTCATGCTCACTCACTCTTGCTCTCTCTGTCTCTCTCTCAAAATAAATAAATAAACTTAAAAAAATAAAGAATATCTACAAAGAACCTACCATCATACTTAACTAGATGCTTTCCCCTGAAAATCAGGAATAAGATAGGAATGTTCCTTCTCACCCTTTCCCATTCAACATACTGGAAGTTCTAGATAATGCAGTATGATAAGAAAGGAAATAAAAGGTATATAGATTAGGAAAGAAGAAATAAAACTGTCTTGGTTTGTAAATGACATGATTGTTTATGTGGAAAATCCCAAAGAGTCAAAAAAAGTAGAATAAGTTACTATAACAAGGTTGCAAGATACAAGGTTAATATATAAAAATCAGCTTTCTAAATGTAGGGTTTTTCTTTTTTTTAAAGGTATTCCACATGTTGAGCATACTTTTAACCTGTTCCCTTAAAACATCCTAGTTTGGAGCCTATAGATTACTGACCGTAAGAATTAAAGATTTTATAAGTCAGTCAGAGAAAGACAAATACCATATGATTTCACTCATATGTGGAATTTAAGAAACAAAACAGATGACCATATGGGAAGAGCAGGGGAGAGAAGAGAGGCAAACAAACCACAAGAAACTCTTAATGATAGAGAACAAACTTTGGGTTGATGTAGGGAGGTAGGTGGGAGATAGGCTAGTTGGGTGATGGGTACTAAGGAGGGCATGTGTTGTGATGAGCACTGAGTGTTGTATATAAGTGATGAATCACTGAATTCTACTCCTGAAACCTGTATTGCACTGTATGTTTACTAACTACAATTTAAATTTTATTTTTTTTAATTTTTTTTTAACATTTATTTATTTTTGGGACAGAGAGAAACAGAGCATGAACGGGGGAGGGACAGAGAGAGGGAGACACAGAATCGGAAACAGGCTCCAAGCTCCGAGCCATCAGCCCAGGGCCCGACACGGGGCTCGAACTCACGAACCGCGAGATCGTGACCTGGCTGAAGTCGGACACTTAACCGACTGAGCCACCCAGGCGCCCCTACAATTTAAATTTTAAAAAAGAAAAGAATGAAAGATTTTATGCAAAATTTAAAATCTGTATAAACAAAAGTCTATCATATGATTTCACTTATATGTGTAATCTAAAAAAACAAAACAAATGAATAAACAGAAAGCAGAAACAGAATCATAAATACAGAAAACAAATTGGTGGTTACCAAGGAGGAGGGGAGCGGGGAGATGAGCGAAATGGGTAGAGGGGAGTGGGAGGTACAGACTTCAGTTATGGAATGAACACATCGTGGAATGAAAGGTACAGCATAGGGAATATAATCAGGGGTTTTCTAATAGTGTTACATTTCTAATAGTATTATATGATAGATGGTCACTACAGTTGTGATAACTTAAGGAGTTGTTGAATCATTATGTTGTTTACCTAAAACTAGTGTAACATTATGTCAACTATACTTCAGTTTTCAAAAAAGAAACATCTTTTATATATATGAAAAAATATGTATATAGGAAGGCAATTGACTTTTATATATAATACATGTCAGTTGCCCCCCTATATCCCAGCAATGAGCAATTGAAATTTGAAATAGAGGGGCACCTGAGTGGCTTGGTTGGTTGAGCATCCAACTTTGGCTCAGGTCATGACTTTGCAGTCTGGGAGTTTGAGCCTCACATTGGGTTCTCTGCCATCAGCGCAGAGCCTTCTTCTAATCCTCTGTCCCCCTCTCTCTGTGCCCCTCCCCTGCTTGTGCTCTCTCTCTCAAAAATAAATAAACATTTAAAATATTTTTGAGGGGCGCCTAGGTGGCGCAGTCGGTTAAGCGTCCGACTTCAGCCAGGTCACGATCTCGCAGTCCGTGAGTTCGAGC